GATAAAGTACTGGCCACTTTTCTCGTTCAGCAATGTCCAGGGCCAGCTGGATGGCTTTCACCTCGGCAAATTGACTCGATTCACCCTCTCCGTCAGCAGTTTCTGCAACTTGTCGTCCAGGACTCCATACAGCTGCCTTCCATCTCCGATGCTTTCCCACAATACGGCAAGAGCCATCAGTAAACAAGGCATACTGCTTTTCACTTTCTGACAGTTTATTATATGGTGGGGCCTCTTCAGCACGCACCACCTCCTCCTCTGGTGACATTCCGAAATCTTTGCCCTCTGGCCAGTCCATGATGACTTCTAGAATGCCTGGACGACTGGGATTTCCTATTCGAGTTCGTTGTGTAATTAGTGCAGCCCATTTACTCCATGTAGCATCAGTTGCATGATGTGTAGAGGAGACCCTGCCTTTGAACATCCAGCCCAGCACGGGCAACCGGGGTGCCAGGAGGAGCTGTGCTTCAGTGCCAATCACTTCCGAAGCAGCTCGAACCCCTTCATACGCTGCCAGTATCTCTTTCTCAGTTGGGGTATAGCTGGCCTCAGATCCTTTGTATCCCCGACTCCAAAAGCCGAGGGGTCGACCTCGAGTCTCCCCTGGAGCTTTCTGCCAGAGGCTCCAGGTAGGACCGTTCTCCCCAGCTGCAGTGTACAGCACATTTTTTACATCTGGCCCGGTCCGGACTGGTCCAAGTGCTACTGCATGAACTATCTCGCGTTTAATTTGCTCAAAGGCTTGTTGCTGCTCAGGGCCCCATTTAAAATCATTCTTCTTCCGGGTCACATGATAGAGAGGGCTTACAGTCGAACTGTAATTTGGGATGTGCATTCTCCAGAACCCCACTGCACCCAAGAAAGCTTGCGTTTCTTTCTTATTAGTTGGTGGAGACATTGCTGTTATCTTGTTGATCACATCTGTGGGGATCTGTCTACGTCCATCTTGCCATTTTATTCCCAAAAACTGAATCTCCTGTGCAGGTCCCTTGACCTTACTCCGTTTTATGGCAAAACCGGCTTTCAGCAGGATTTGGATTATTTTCCTCCCTTTCTCAAAGACTTCTTCCGCTGTATCGCCCCACACAATAATGTCATCAATGTATTGCAGGTGTTCTGGAGCTTGCCCCTGTTCCAGTGCAGTCTGGATCAGTCCATGGCAAATGGTAGGGCTGTGTTTCCACCCCTGGGGCAGTCGGTTCCAAGTGAACTGGACACCCCTCCAAGTAAAAGCAAACTGTGACCTGCACTCTGCTGCCAAAGGAATGGAGAAAAATGCATTGGCAATATCAATCGTGGCATACCACTTGGCTGCCTTTGACTCTAGTTCATACTGAAGTTCTAGCATGTCCGGTACGGCAGCACTCAATGGTGGTGTGACTTCATTCAGGCCACGATAGTCTACTGTTAGTCTCCATTCTCCATTAGACTTTCGCACTGGCCATATGGGGCTATTGAAGGGTGAGCGGGTCCTGCTGATCACCCCCTGACTCTCCAGTCTACGGATCAGCTGATGGATGGGAATCAGGGAGTCTCGGTTGGTGCGATATTGCCGCCGGTGCACTGTTGTGGTCGCAATTGGCACTTGTTGTTCTTCAACTTTCAGCAACCCCACAGCAGAGGGATCTTCTGAGAGACCAGGCAAGGTGGACAGCTGCTCAATTTCCTCAGTCTCCAAAGCAGCAATACCAAAAGCCCACCGGTACCCTTTTGGGTCTTTGAAGTACCCTCTCTTGAGGTAGTCTATGCCGAGGATGCATGGAGCCTCTGGACCAGTCACAATAGGGTGCTTTTGCCACTCCCTCCCAGTCAGGCTGATTTCAGCCTCCAGCACAGTCAACTCTTGGGATCCTCCTGTTACTCCAGAAATATAGATGGGTTCCACCCCTTGACAGCTTGATGGCATCAGGGTACACTGTGCACCGGTATCTACTAGAGCCTTATACTTCTGTGGGACTGATGTGCCAGGCCATCTGATCCACACAGTCCAGTAAATCCGATTGTCCCCTACCTCCACCTGGCTGGAGGCAGGGCCCCTCTAATGGTCGTCACAGCATTGGACACTTAAGTCGTGTTGAAAGGGATTATTCTTCGTTATCACAGGAGCTGGAGTAAAATCAGCTCTTCCACTCCATCTGGGAAACTGCTCACCAGAGACTGAAGCCGTAGCTCTCATGGGACGATCAGTCTTGGCCCTTGCTCCCCTCTTCAGTTCACTCACCCGTTCCTCCAAAGCTGAAGTAGGTTTTCCATCCCACTTTGTCATGTCTTCTCCGTGATCCAGCAGGTAAAACCATAGGGTACCCCGTGGCGTATACCTTCTGTATCTCCTCTCTTGAACAATAGGACGTCTTTTGTTAATAGCTGAGACGTGTGTTGGTACACGTGAGTAGCTGGATAAATCAGATACATCGTCCCTCAATTTGTCGAGGTCCTGGGACAGTTTTTTCACAGCTGAGATGATGGAAGGAGTGAGATTGTCTTCGAACTCTCGGAGTTTATGAACCATTTCATCCACTGTTAGTGGTACTATGTCATTCCAGGTCACTGTTGCCAATGAATGGGCATATGATGACGGTGCATTCCGTGTAAGTTTTCACCACATGGGTCGTGTACATTCAACTTCATCTGGATCTATAGGTGTATCCCCGTTATTCGGCTTGATGTGATAGATCATCTCTACGATGGCCGATTCCCTCAGAGACTGGATGCCTTTGTCTATAGTAGTCCACTTGGCCGAACGACTCGTAACATCGTCCTTGTACGGAAACCTTTCTTTCACAGCTGCCAAGAGCCTCCTCCAAAGGCTGAGGGACTTTTTCTCTCTTGCAATTGCTTTGTCAATTCCCCCTTCTCTAGCAAGTGATCCCAGCTGCTTGGCTTCTGTACCTTCTAGTTCGTGACCATCGGCCCCATTGTCCCAGCATCGGAGTAACCAGGTGATGATGTGCTCCCCTGGTTGACGGGTAAAATCTTTTCGCATATTCCGCAGCTCGGTTGAGGTTCGAGGTCGAGAAGTTACCTCTTCTTCTTCTTCGTCATGTGATGATGACTCCTGATCAGATTCTGGACCGGGTGGTGAATTCATTGGTTCTTCATCTCGCTTCACCCTTTTTGCCTCCTTTTTGCTTGTTCTCTTGCGTACAGGGGCAACTGATATTGGTACGAATTGGTCCTCTGGTTTGGCTGCAGTGATTATCACTGTGGTTTGAGTAGCGACTGTTCTTGTTGCTGGGGGTGGTGTAGCTACCGTGCTTGGAGCTGGGGTAACCGCGCTGTCTGTTGCAGTTGAAGTTTGAGCAGCTGCTGTACTTGCCACTGGGGTAGCTGCGCAGTTCATTGCAGCCAAAGTTTGAGTAGCGACTGTCGCTTTGCCCTCAAATCCGCCGATATTCTTTTCCTTTTGAAGGTGCTGGATAGTGTTGAACAAGGCCCTGTAAGCATAGGCCAAGCCCCAGCACGTTGCCGTGATTTGTCCATCTCTGGTATGGCCAGAATGACCACACACCTCATTTAAGTGTTTTACTAATTCTTCTGGATTTTGCAGTTGTTCGGTAGTGAAATTCCAAAATACTGGAGGGGCCCACTGACCTAGATACTTGCCCATACTATCCCACACACCCTGCCACTCATGGCTGTCCAGCCTCTGGGAAAATCTCTCGGTCCTCCTACATCGTCTTTTGACCCCAGACAAGACCCAAACCTGAATCTGCTTAACTCTTGAAATCAGTAGTGGGCAAAACACACTCTGTATGCGTGTTAGCATGGTGATTCCCATCACCATCAGTAAACAAGTCTCAACAGCATTAAAATGCCATTCAAAAAATTCAAAACTCTCAAATGTAAATGGTCTGGGGGGACGACTAGGAGGGTAAAAGGATGTCTCCTTCACAGGTTGAGCACCTGAGAAGGAGAAAAAAGATGTGTAATTGCTAAGCACCTCCATCATATACCTCCCAAAGTATAAAGGTGGTGACCACACTGGGAACATAAACCAGATCAGTTTCATGATCAATGATTCTATTGTATTACAAGTCATTACCATAAAGTACAATGGGATAAAAACCTTAGCCCAAGCCCCACACTTGAAAAACACTAATACAGCCAATACCGGATGGACGTAAGATATGGTATACTGAAACTGTGAGATCAAGAGGAAAAACCTTGAGAGCCAATAAATCAGCATTGTGACGAGTGACTACCAATCCAGTCAGATCTGTTCTTATCTCAACCCCTCGTGCCCCACGTTGGGCGCCAAAAAGAACTGTCGTGGTTTAAACCCAGTCAGGTAACTTGTTCACTCACTCCCAGTGAGTGGTGCCGAGCTGACAACAATCAAGGTCCGTGTCCGTCTCCCCCCCCCCGCACCGGGGCTCTCCCCTTCCCCGCTCCCGGAGGAACGGGGAGGAGGATCGAGAGAGTGCAACTCCTACGGGTTGAGACAAGAACAGTCCAGCAACAAATCACCACCGCTACTATCAGCTAAAACAATGATAAGGGAAAATAACAAGGGAAGAGAATACGATACCACCGGCCAAGAAAACGAGTTCCACCCGGAAGCCCCTGTCCTTCCGGGTAACTCCCAGTTACCCCCCACCCCGGGCATGACGTGCTGTGGTATGGAATACCTCCCCGGCTAGCCCGGGTCAGGCGCCCCGTCTCTGCTTCCTCACAGCTTCCCCTCCTCCCTGGCAGAGCATGAGCCTCACAGAGTCCTTGGTCAGGGTAAACATCACTTAGCAACAACCAACAACATCGGCTTCACCAACGCTGTTCTCAAACTAGAAGTCAAAACACAGCACTGCACCAGTTAACACAAAGGAAAAAAACATGACTGCTACTGCTGAACCCAGGACACCAGGTTTGCTCCCTGCCTCGCTTCCTGAAGTCAGTTGTCTCTCTTCTGTCACTGCGTCCCACCAAACAGGAGAATATCCTTTCAAAAAACACCAAACAAAGAGACAAAGAAATGAAACCAAAGATCCCTCAATGTTTTTTTGTTATGGCTGCAGGGACAAAGCGAACCGTTCTCCACTCCCAATGGACACCTGACGAGCGCTGAGCGCTGCCTAGATGGTTTACGTGGCGATGAGCTAAACCTCTCCATTCCTGGGCACGTTTACCTCCCTTTAGCCCTTACCTGCTCTCCTCTGAACAGTCCTTCCAGAACAATTCAAGGGGGAGCTGGGCACTGATCCAGTGGTTCTCTCCCTTCTTTGGGGGCTTCCTGTGTGGCCACAGCTTCTAGTGCCATTTCAGCAGCAGCGGCACGTTCTACGCATGCAGTGTCATAGGGAGCAAGAAGCTCTCCATCACAGCCTTCTGCAGCAGTTAATGCTTCAGCTGCTTCCATCAGAAATGAGGTCTCTGCCTCCACAGGAGTCAGAGGTGCCAGCTCACTTTCCTCAGCGGCAGAAGGGGTGTCGCTCTTCCCACTACTAACCAGGAGCGGCTGACTTCTGAGAGACTGAGGGGTTGACATCTCGCTCTCCACAGGTTCCACTGGCACTATTTCAGCGTTGGGTGGTGAAAGCATCTTATCCAGAACCTCAAGTATGGCTTCAAAACTTAATTCCTCCATCATCTTCTCTTCACCAGAAGCCCCGCCACAGGGCAGGCATTCAGCTGCACAAGGTGGCTGCGCTGGTGGACTCTGGGAGAAACAGAAGACAGGGAACGTTCATACCAAAACCACACAGTGATTGATCAGTCAGGGCTGATGGTATTACTGTTTCTAAGGACTGTGCAGGTGGTTTCTGATTATCAATACACAAGCAGGGCAGGATGAGCAATGCTGGAGCCGTCTGCATCCCCCAACAGAACCTGGGGAAGTGCCTGCCCCTGAGCACACACAAGGTAAACTGATTACTGGCCAGAGCTCAGTGAGATCCACAGGCAAAGCACTGTATTCTGTGCCACCTGCACAGCCCCTGCCACCCTGCTCCCCACCCTGGAGGAATGATCCAGGCTACCCTAACACTTGGAAACATCAAGTCCTTTTGAGCCATTCTGCACAATACTCGTGTTGTCCTGCTCCCTGGGTGCCTCTGGGCTGCTCACCCAGAGGGGACCTTCCAGCAATCTCTGCTCACATGCACCAGCAGCTTTTGACTGGCACTTCCCTGCCTGTGCCTGCATAACCCAAGCAACCACTAAGGAGCAAGTGGTTAACCAGCAAGTTACCAGGACACTTACTGCTTCAGGAACCAGTACATCTCTTCTGACCCCATGGACTCGCTTTTCATCAAGCACCTGAGTTTTACCAGACCCTGTGGGCACTGTATTTCTATCACCTTTCAGTCTAGCCACACCACCACCCCGACAGCTCCTTGGGCACCATTTGCTATCCCAGACACTGATCTCAGCCTTCTGAGATGAGCAGTTATGTGATTGCGACTTCCCGACACTCAGACCGATCCTCATGTCCTGGAGGGAAAAGCAGCTCACAGTGGAAGTGGGAGGACAAAGACGCACTGCCTGAGAAAGAAACACCAGCCTATCAGCGGCAGGCCTGGCTGTTGGCTACTTCTAGCCTTACAGCAACGTGTTATCCTGGCCACAACCTGCCCAGCTTGGGTAAGCTCAGATGAGAAAAGGAAAACATGCAATGAAGACAAAAGGTTGATATTTGTAAGACAAGACACTGGATGATCAGGCTTGCATAGGTCAGCCCTTTTGCAACACACACATCAGAACTTGTTTTGCTTGCCCTCTGGAAGGAAAACAACCAAAAGCATATGCGTGCTGCTGCAATGCAAAAGGAAGCCCTGGCATTTGTACTGAGGTTCTTTTGCTATTTGATAAGCCAGGCCACCCAATCGGGAGCAATTGCCCCCAGAATTCCAGAAAGGAAGTACTGGAGTTTTCTCTGAGGTGAGCCCAATTCCAAAAGTCACCTTAGTTTTTCTCATTCACCCAGTGAAACTCAGAACTGCCGCAAGCTCTCTGGGATGGAAAAGTGGAGCTGGTTCCAGGATTTCCGTAACATTAAAGAATCACCTTTGTGCAGGCAAGGACATTCTTCAGATAAACGGAGACTCATGAACTAAAGCAAATTCTGGTGCAGCCACACATATCACTTTGACAGGAAAAACCTCTCCAGCGATGACACCCACGATGCTGCTGCCCTGACACCTCACCTGCATGGCAGCCTCTGCCCCTGCCACGTTCAGTGCTGCTCTCAAATGGGCATTGGGAAACCCCGTGACTTGCCCTTTCTCCAGCAGATCCATTCCCAAACTTCTCTCCCTCCTGCCACAAGCCCAGAACCCTGCAGTCCACGTGCAGGGGCTCCTCTGCTTCCCCCTGCTCTTCCTGCGCTGCACTCACCTGCACAAAGCCGCAGTGGGTGCACGCTGCAGCCGCAGCGCTGGCGCTGACAGCGAGAGGCTCTCCCTGGGCAGGGGGTGAAGGACACTGCAGCACTGCTGGAGAATTCAGACACAGAGATCAGACTGCCAGAACTGGTGTTCAGTGTGCACAGTGCTACTGCTTACTTGGATTAAACACTGCACTGACCACAGAGTAAACTGCCTGAAATGGGTTAGGACCTCCCCAGTGGTTGGAAGACTGATTTCTTCACCCTAAAACGTATTGGTTCTGACACATGTGCATGCAGATTACAAATATATATACACACTCAGAGAAACTTCATGGTCACGATCTTCTAGAGCTTAAGATCACCTTTTTGATTTGGCCGCCTGACTGCCTCATCGCAACATACCACAGAAAGTGGATTCACACAGGAAGGGCCTGCATGTTCACACTCACAATTAAACACTGATCTTATTCCAAAAAGCAGCCTTGTAGTTGAAGCTGTATTCTGCAGGTATTATTTTTTGGTGACTTGCAAAGATATCTTCAGAGTAAAGGCTTTCTTTGCAGGACAGATAATCTTTACTGATGGGCAGTGTTAGCAAAGGCAAAGGTGTCAATTTCTTTTGAATACGTCTACCAATTGAATCAAGATTCCACACACCTGCTGCATTCACACACTTCTGTCCTACCCTGTGAATTGCAGAGAAGATATTTCTAAGCTCTTCTATCTCTGCTATAGTTAATCTCACCAGAGCCAGAAGAAATGAGCAGCTAAAGCACATTCTGTCACCAGCTGTTATCAAGTAAAAGACAGAGAACAGGGTCTCATTTGAACGCTAAAGAGAGGGGCATGAATGGAAGCTTATGAAATCCTCATTTACTGAACAAACAAAAGATGCAGCCCCTCCCATCAAATAAGATGGATCTGCCTCAATGGAGATTTGGGGTTTGCCAAGAAAGAGACACACTTCTGCCTGTACAAGCTACGGATGGGAAACTTCACCCCCTCTGCAGGACACAACATGGGGGAGGTGAAAAAAACCCCATGCAAGTTAGCCTAACGCTGACTGGCTGTGGCCAATTGGTTTCCTCCTCGCCCTGGAGCCTCCAAGGAGAGGATCTCTGGAAAGTCACCAGGGGACCCTCAAAAGCTGGACCAAGGACAAGAACACAAACCAGAACATCTCTGGCCTTTCGTGGTCTCTCTTCCTTTTCTAGACTTTACGCTTGCTGTCTAATTTCCACCTGAGATACACACATGGGGACAGACACTGGAGAAAAACATTTCCAGCATCACTTGTCAATAACTGCTTGAGCAGCAAGTGCAGAACTTTGGCCATACCCGTTGGATCGGGGGCTTGCGAGCACTGCCCTGGAGACGCGCAGCTGCTGTCTTGCGGGAGGGAAGCGGCCCCAGCTGGAGCCCCTTGCTGAAGCGGCAGAAGCCAGAACACAGTCTGCAGAGTGTACGTGACCTCTGTGGAACACTTGTGCAGGACCGGAAAGGGAGCCCCTGGGCCTGGAATAGCTGGGGAAGCCCGGTGCCCTGGCAGCAGCCCAAAAGAGCCCTGCCATGTTCTGGAAGGGATCGGAGTCTGCTGGAAAGGCTCTGGCACGAAAGCACCGGGGTTCTGGCACAAGGCCGCTTTGTCCGAGTAACCAAAGAAGCTCTCTGGACCACCAGGTTGAGGAGCCTGTCCTCCAGTCACCAGTCCTGCAAAACAAAGGGAAACAAGGGCTAAGGAAAGCAGTTTTCACTGGCGCTGCAAGGCAGGATGAGGAGCCAAGGCTCCACAATGTTCTTTGGGAAGACCACCTTTGCTCCAATGTTCTTCATCCACAAACAGACTTTATTCTTACACCTGAACATACAGTAACATAACACTGCTGTGCCAACACACGCTCGCCTGTGACCATTCAGTCTCCTGAAGCCTCCAGTACCAAGTGATCAGGAGTTAGAAATGTGCTAGAAATCGAAACGGGTGGCACCTGACTGAACCAAGCATGAGGATTTCAGAAAGTGCCGTGAACTACAGCAGACAGTACATTGCAATAAAAGGGGAATCACAAAGCACTGCTTTACCAAACTCCAGCTTTGCTACTAATACTACTAACATTTATGATAATAACCCTGACACTTTAAGGTTAGGGATAAGATTAGGGTTATGAGCCATTAGGGATAGCGTTTGAGGCCATCAGAGTTACGTTTAGGGGTAAGGTTTGGGTAAGGTGTTAGCGTGAGGGTTATGGTTTAGGGTTACGTTTAGCATTAGAGGATATTAGGGTTAGGTTTAGGGATTAATGTTAGCGTCAAGATTAGGGTTAGTGTTATGGGTTAGGTTTAGGGTAAGGGTTACTGCAGGGCTATGGGTTAGGGGTTCCCGTTAGGTTTTGGGTTATAATAACCCATTAGCCCAGGGGGACACCTGACAGAAATCTCGGTGCCGCGTCTCTTTTCCTTTGCACAGAGCTGACGGGATGCTCTGCTTGGCACTGCACATGGGCCACCGCTTCACGCCCATTGAATGACTGCTGAGGCAGCATCTCCACTGCTACTGCCGTGCACGGAGGAGGAACGTTCTTCGGGTTCCACTCACCTGCAGGGTGCCGATTTACAAACCCCACGGTCCCCAGCGCTTCTCACCACCACGCTGGGGCCCACCCCAGCTCACCGGGCCTGGCACCTCGCCGAGCCTCGGGGGCGGCAGCAGCGGGTCCCCGTGCAGCGCCGTGCCGAGCAGGCGCTGAGAGGGCTGGTGCGGGCGGCTGGGCACCTGCAGGCCGGCTGCCAGCTTCTCTTTGGCTCTCGTCAGGCGCTTCAGGTGGACGAGGAGGTCGGGGCGGTCGCGGCTGAAATGGGGGCTGTGGAAGTGGAGCAGGGGCCCGGCCGAGCTGCCGGCATCGCCCCCCGGCAGGCCCTGCGGGGGCCCCGGCCCCAGCTTGCGGAAGCCGTACAGGTTGAGCTGCCGGATGAAGCTGGGGAAGTTCCTGGTCTTGAAGAAGGCGGCGGCCAGCGCCGCCCCCTCGCCGGCCGGCCCTGCGCCCGGCAGCTCCCGCTCGAAGAGCCGCCGGTCGATGAGCAGCCCCTCGCCACGGGCATCGCAGCGCCCGGAGCCGCAGCGCGGGCTGTTCACCAGCTGCCACAGCTTGCCCGGGAAGCGCTTGGGGTCGACAGCGCCGGGCAGCCGCTGCCCCTCCATGGCTCTCCCCGCCAACGGACGCTCGGGCCACTCGCCCTGCACCGGCCGCCGCGCGAGGGCCGGCCCCAACGGCCCGCGCTGGGGGAGCGGCACCGGCCCGCGCGCCGCCGGGCACGGGAGCGGCTTCAGCCTGCGCTGCCCGCCGAGGCCGGCCCGGCCTCTCGAGCCCCTCGGCACAGCCGCACCCGCAGCGCCGCCACAGCCCGCCGGCGCCAGTCCCGGCCGCTGCCTCGGCGGCTCCCCGCTTCCCTCAGCTCCGCCGGTGCCTTCAGCGGGCCCAGGTCCCGACGGCCCCTGAGCGCTGCCGTCCCTTCAGCCGCTTCCCGTGTCCCCAGCCCCGACGTCGCCTCAACGCCGTTCGTTACGGAGGCTCCAGCGTCACACTGCTCAAGCCCCGTGAGCTCCATCCCTCTGCCCCGGGAAACCGGGAAGGGCAGACCCTGCTGCTGCCAACGGCACAAACCAGGGCAGGACGCGCAGAGCGGCCACCGCCTCCAGCGCTCTCGCGCCACGAAAACCAACTCCGCCGGCAACGTGAATTTTCTCTGCTCCTCTCTTCAGCGCTTTGCTCAGCGCAGCCTTCTAAACCAGTAAATAGCTTCTCATGACAGAGACCGTCAAACTGAAAGGGAGTTATTCCAGCTCCGCACTGGTGTAAAACACCAGCAGGTGTCCCGTGCCACGGGAGCGGCTGCCGAGGCGGGAGCCGGTGTAGGCAGCCGTCCTCTGGGCTGTCTGGGACCGAGAATGGGAAAAGAAATGCTGGTCTGGCCATTCCGCCGGCACCACACTGGTTCCTAGGTCTGTGCTCACCCGGCGGAGCAGGCGGCCCGCGCCCCAAAGGCGGCTCCTGGGGTTTTAACCGCTCCAGTTCCTCCCGACAAGGTGCCAAAGGGGCGGTCGCCTTCGTGTCTGTCTGGGCTCGTAAGGGTTGCTCCCGCGATTCCACCCGTTCCCGGCTGTGCTCGGTGGGTCTGTCCGTGCCACCTCGCTGGGCTACCCCTAGTAAAGGTGCGGCCTCGGCGTTTCATCACCCGCACTCAATTGTAAGCCGCCGCGGCGCCGTCGGTGTTTTCAGCGGCCAGACAGGTCAATTGCCGGGAGAACGGGCACGGGTGATAACGCCTCTTCCCCAGATCCATCACCCCCCTGTCAGTTCCCTGTTGTGCGGCAGCCGCCGAGGGGAATTGTCCTGCGTTAGTGACCTGCGAGCGTGGCACAAGGATGGACACTTCTGGTAATGGAATTGGGTTTGGTCCCGATTCCCGAGTCCACTCTACAATTGCAGTCAGCATCGATAAGGGCCATTCTCCATCGCCTCGTCCAGCAAAACAAAGTGTTCCACGGGGGAGTTCCCACGTCCTGCCGTAGAGCAGATCAAACCCCAGGGTGCTCCTATGAGCAGCACAACCGGTACTTGAACACCAGTTAGTTTCTGCTCCCCGGGAGCCATAAGGCAACTTCTGCAGTGGGACACTCTTGGATCGTTCCCTCAGTTCCCCGAACGTTCCTTTTACGGTGAACTGGCTTTCTATCTAGATCGTTTGGTCGTCGATTAGTAATTCCCGACGTCTACGCCCCTGCGTCATTTAGGAAGTCTGCAGACGATCTCCTGGGTCCTGTCGGCATGGAGATCACGGGCTCCTGATGTTTAGCAAAGAGCCGTTGCATTGCGCACCCTGCCGGGCAGGGCGGCTCACTGCCCGCCCCGGGGATGCCCCTTTTTGGTCGCGGTATTAGCGAAGTCAAATAAAGCCCGTTCTGGGGCTGAGGGCACGGATTTAGAATGAACGATTTGCTTTCTTTTGGGCGCGTGGGGGACGTGTGTGGATCTGACGTTTTCGTAGCCGCCGGAGCTCCTCTGGCCGGATCGATCGCGGCGAGCACTGGTGCTCTCTCCTCCATTGCTGCCTGCTGGCTGCCATTCCCATGGATACAGCGAGATCCCCGAACTCTGCAGGTTAATCCCAAGAGGGTCCCCTCACTCCTGCGGGTCTGTACTACTGCCCCAGGAAGCGGCTCGTATGGTCAATGGAGAGTTGTGGTCGCCCGCTGGGGTGGTTCAAAATGCTCTGGGACGCCAATAATCTCCCGCTTCTGCTCCCCTCGGGAACATTTGGTCTCCTCCTGGGAGGGACACTTGCCACGCACACTCCGACTTGGATTCCACTCGCCATCTGCAATATTTGTCCTGCAAATTTGACGCTTCAGCAGGAGCCCCTGGGATGGCGCGTGCAGCAGTACGGGCATCATCGCCTCCTCCTTTGTGGTTTCAGGTTTAATCCAGGGCCGCATAGGTACGGGTTCTGGGGCAAGATCACAACCAAAACCTTCATCCAGTTCCTCATTACCATCACGGTGCCGGGTATCTCCAGCCCATATTGCGGGCTCCGCACAACCGATTCATTGCCGGATCTGTTCCGCTGAACCCGACCGCAGCACTTGGCTCCCCACATCCAATTGTTCCTGCTGAAAACCTGGCTCGGGTTGCAGCATTCTCAGGTTGTTGTTTCACTCCTGAGGTCACCAGCTCGTGCCCTCAAGTTTCCTCCGTTTTCTTCTGAAGTCAGGAGTCAGCCAAGTTTTCAACACTTGGTTTCCCGATTCCAAGGCAAGAGATTCTCCATCGACAGTTGTTTCGGGGGCAGGGACTATCTGATTGCCTTTTGCGCGCAAGAGAAACGACCCTAGCACTGCACTATTCCTTTACCTTTCCCGTTTTACCTTTCCGCTGACTGCGAAACCGCTGTATCCGCTCCACCACTTTATCGCCACCTCTCCAGCATTTTGGGGCCCCTTCTATTCCCGCCGGGGATGGCGCACACGCCCAACCCCGCAGCAGTTTCTCCCTGGCAATCCCGCGGGCGGCTACACCGACGTTTTCTGTTGCCTTCAGAGGTTCCACATTTGGCACAAAATCCCCGCTGGGATCCAGCCAGAGCGCTGAGATCAGAGGCGGGGGCCGGACTGTGGGCTCCGCGCTGCGGGCTCCGCGGAGGCCGCTTCTCAGCCGGGTGGGGCAGCGGCCGCGCTCTCCTACCTGGGGCACACAGAGAGGGTGGAGCCTGAACCTAGTGCCTGACCATGTATTATGGCAGGGGGATCATTAAAGTCTCCTGTCAATCGCAAAAAATTCATAACAGATACAGCTTTCTGTGTCCTTGCTACCGGTGTAAGTCCTTCTTCCCCCGTTTTTTGTTTTTCCAATAGTTGTTTCAAAGTTTGATGTGTTCGTTCAATAATAGCTTGTCCTCCAGGAGAATAGTGTCAGTAGTAACATATTTCAGTTTCCCAAAAGAGGGTACATGAGTCACATCCATTTGCCAAAGCTGAAGAGGCTGGAGGCCTCAAGGGTTGACTTCAAGGCCTCTACCTACTGCTTGGCCTTGACAATCGTGACAAGATTAGTGATTTTTGTCATGATGTGATCTAAGGCCTCATACTGAGCTTTTGATAGAACTCTTTTTTGTTCTGCCTTTGACTCACCCTTTAAAAGGGGCATTGAGATCGGTCAGATCATCATTTGAGATTTGAGCTATTTTCAGGGATGTTGACCGGAGGAGCATGTGTTTGCACCGTGATCCCAATGTTTCCAGTGTAGTCAGCATCAATTACACCGGGTAATACAAAGATTCCTTTCCTTGATGTTGATGATCGTCCCAGTAGCAAAGCACCGTAACCCATGACCAAGAAGTCCATTTAATTGAGATGGAATACAGTGAACAGAAGTATCAGTTATGGTAAAATCTATTGCTGTTGCCACGTCCACTCCGGCACTCCCTATGGTGGCGGAGGGGATGCAGTCCAGACACCCTGATTTTGTGTCGTCGCGCGGGGTGGCATCGCACTCACATTCAAATTTCCCAACGGGGTTCTGTCTTTTTTAAACTTTGAACGACATTCAATTGTCTTGTGGCCAAATTTGTCACATTCAATACATTTGTCTGCAAAATCAGTAACACCACACTGAGGGGGGCGGGTTGCTGACCTGATTTTCTTTACAGTACGCTGCTTTTTAAAATGCCCCATCCGTCCACAGTTATAATATCTCATACCTTTAGTACCCCCACGATCACCCTGACCTTGTTGTAGAAGGGGTTTAACAGCAGCGGCGAAGGCAGTAGCCATGTATCGAGCCTTTTCCTCTGCTGTGCCCACTTTAGAACATGCATCCATCATTTCTTGAAGACCAGCAGATTTTTGCAAAACCTGCAAAATACGCTTACAAGCTGGATTAGCATTTTCCATAGCCAGAGACATAAGCATCTTTAGCATTAGACGCCAGATCAATATTCTTTTCAATAGCCTCTGTCAATCTGTCAATAAATTGCATATAGGGCTCAGTAGGTCCCTGCTTTACTGATGTGTATGAAGGTTTAGGCTTTCCTGCTTCCGTCACAGCTTTCAGAGCAGCTAAAGCCAATTGCTGTGCTTGCTGTAAAACTTCAATTTTCATATGAGCTTGTACTCCATCAGGGTGAAATTGTCCCTTTCCCAATAACATTTCAGATGAAACACCGTGCAAAGGGTGATGAGGATTACACTCTGAATTCTCATCTGCACCCCTTGCAGCAAGCTCCTCAAACCCACTTTTAAAATGTAGGAGCTGTGAAGGAGTTAATAAAATTGCAGCCACTCTGAGACAATCATTTGGAGTTAGAACATTACTAGAAAAGAAAGCAGATAACATTTTCTGTGTATATGAGGAAGACAACCCATACTGAGTAATTGCTCCCTTAATTTCTTTCATGGCTTTCCAGTCCATAGGAGTCCAGACAGACTGTCCCTGAGAATTTATAATAACAGGGAATGCAGCGGGAACATCTATCGGTAAAATAGTACCGTCTATAATTGCATCCTAAATGCAGCCTCGCCATCTCATGGCACTCGGATTAGCTTTATTAGATGTAGGAGTCGGTGGTAACGGCACATCACACGGACTGATCTTTTTTTTCCGTTTTTTCTGGGGTTTGCTCCCTCTCCTCCCCCAATTTGTCCAGATGGTTCCGCAAGTCCTGCAATTGCTTATCTAAGGATTTTGTCCATTGCCCCCAGTTCCACTCATTTTGCAGCTCCAGTGGGAGCGATGCAAGCAGTGATGCATGTGGCGGAGGTGGGTATTT